TTAATTACCCTGAAGGTTTGTCCATCCCATGGTCTGCCAACAATCCTATTTACTGGATGACGGGGGTCTTAGGCCTATTTTGCAGTTGAGGGTACTGAGGTCTCAGCAGAGATGCAGAGCCTGGTTTCTGGTTGACAAACGTCAGTTGTGAAGATGAGGACATTTCCTGGTGGCTGTGACTGGGAGAGGCTGTGCGGCTGACAACAAGAACACTGACTGCTGGCCAGCTAGAACCAAGAGGATAGAGGAGAGACACGGGTACCTGGGCAGCCAAAGCTTGCAGACCAGGGACGTGCCAGCAGGGGAGCCAGGGCCCTGGTCCAGCACCACTGCAGCGCTGGAGCCCTAGGCAAGCACCTCCTCTGGGTCCTTTGGCTTCTGATTATCCTACAGTCCTTTGGGCTTCATGCCCCAGCTTAACAGCTTTCCCTGGCTCCCTATTGCTTTGTAAATTAAGGATCATTTTGTTTATCTTGGCTCGCAAAGGACCCACCTATGCTCTCTCCTACTAGAGCCTGACTCTTGCTCCCTAACACACTCAGCCCCACGCCTTGCAACTTTGACTCTTACTGGCCAGAGAACTCTTACCTCAGACAACCTGTCTTCCCTTCATGCACCACACTGTGTCACTCAGGTAAAAGTGAGATCAACCCAAGTGCTGGGAAGGTATGTGGTTCAGAAAGGAAGCAGCTTCTGCTGTGACCCCAAAGCGCTCCAGGGTTTCCATTCTCTCCGGGCTCTCTCAGGTTTGCTAGTTCCCCAGCAGGGGAGTGAGTCCTGCCACCAAGTGGTTTCCTGATCACAGGGTCTCCCATTCTACTGTCTGACAAAGTGTCTCTCGGTCTCCTCATCTGAGGAATGGCACTGGTCCCCTCCCCTAGAACTCTTTTGGAACCAGTGACTGCTACCCTCCAACTTGATGTAGATTCCCAGCAGGATTCCCTATGGCACCCTGTGGTCCTCAGAACTCCCTTCTGAGGAGGTTCTTTCAAGGATCCCTCAGCAGCCACAGTCTTGGAGGTAATGTGCCTTAGCCCGGGCGCCTGACCCTCCCACACCCTCAAGTTGTCTAATCGCAGCCAAGTTGTCATGAATTGGAGATAAACCATGCATGAGCCGCAGAGCCCTGAGTGCTCTGTGAACATTTGTGCTGTATGGCGGAGGCACGGGCACAGTAACAGCACCATGGCACATGAACGGCCAGTTAGTACACAGCATGTAAAAGTGAAATACTAGGGCTGGAATACAGACAGCTCCTGAGGCTCTGGGTTTTATTTCCTAGCCCCCCAATCCCCCCCCCCAAAGAAAGAAATAGGGTAGGGTGTATAACTCAGTGGTAGAGGCGTACCTATCATGCCCAAGGTCCTGAGTTCCACCCCCAGAATAGGACAAAGAAAAACAGTAACAACCAAACAAACAAAACCCCCAAACCAACCACAGAACGAAAAACCCTCTACTATATTTCGGGTATGTGGCAGTTAGCCCTGTTTATGTGCAGATTCTCCATCCTCAGATTCAACCAACCAAAGACCAAAACTATTAAAAAATAACGGATTTGATTCCCAGCATTGCAAAAAATAAAAATTTAAGAGAAAACTTGTGTCTGTCCTTTTGGTCATCCAGAAATGATGTGACGTACATGGGAAGATGTGGGCAGTCCTGTGTAAACACTACGGCGTTTAACTGAAGAAAGCAGCTAGGCTTGGTAGTGCACATTTGTACTCCTAGGTGGGACGATTACCCAGAACTCGTGGCAAGCCTGCACTATAGTGAGCATCTGCAGATTTGGGTGCCTGAGGGGGCCCTGGCTTCAACACCTCCACCACCGAGGGGGATTGATTTTGAAAATGAGAATCGAAGGAGGTGTGCCGATGGAGCATTGGTTTTTATCAACCAAAACAAGGGCAGGTACCTGGTGAGTGTAGGGGAGATGTGAGAAGAGTTAAAGATTGCTGGGGGGGCGGGGGCAGGGGGTTGAAGAAAGCAAAAATAAGGTAATTTTTAAAATAAAAAATAAACACCTTATAAAGTTTTTTCAAAAGAAAAATTTTCTGAAGGGAACCGGTAGCGGTCACCTGCAGCTGTCAACTCTGCTCTGTGTTTAGGGTTACTCCCGCTAACCCACTCATTCAGATTTAGGGGACATCTTTGGTGCTCTGCCTCGAGGTCAAGCAGGCCCTGCACAGGCTTCACAGGGTTCAGCAGAGGAGAGTGCAGGTTTCCCAGAGGCTCCAGTCTACATAGGGTAGATGGAAAGAGGAGGGACCAGGAAGGGACCTGGACAAAGAGAAGCTGTAGACTGGGCTACCACTGTCTGTGAACTTGGATGGATGCTGCTTGGAGACATAGGAAATGGCAACATATTGATCTTGAAGGCCTGGGGACCCATAGTCATCCAGCCCAATAATTCTGCCCAGTATGCAAGGGGGACCAGAGGTGTTGGATGCTGGCAAGGGAGCGCCAGAAGTCACTTCTCAGGATGGTGACTTGGCGGCCCAACTACCCTGGGGTTAGGGCGAATCAGCCTCTCTGGCCTGGTTTCATCAGAGCTGGGCCTCAAGGCAGAGATTTGCTCTGCCTCTGTCCACAATTCTGGCCTCTCTGCTCTCCTCCACTGAGCTTGTGGCCCCAGGACCTGGACAAGCATCCATGGGGCCAGCCTGGCTGGGTGTCCCTGATTGTCCCTGCTTCTGGGCAAGCAACTACCTGCCACTAGCTGCAGCAGCAACCCCCCTCCCCAATGTTTTCCAGGCTGGTTCCAGGGGAGGCAAGAGCCCTCTCCTCACTCTTGACCACAGCCTGCCCCACTGCCTGTGGAGGTGCCCCTCTCATGCAGGCCCTCCAGAGGCAGCAGTGGCACTACAGGGACCACAGTGCACTGGGTACCCAGTGGGCCAGGCCTGCACTTCCAGGGGGTGGCATGGCTGGGCTTATCTGATGTTTATCAGTGAAGTGCCAGGTCGAGGGTCACACAGCCCTGAAGAAGCCCACACCCAGACAGTGCTCACAGAAATGGAAGCCACGGCACCAGCCCACCATGCTTGAACCTAGAGGAAACCTGTGGCACCGTTTACAGGGGAGCCTGGAACCTGCATAAGTTGAATGGTTCTCCCCAACGCCATCTTTCTACTAGAGCCTTCTTAGGCCTCAATTTCTCCATTCGTCCGAAGCAGTCTCGATTGGTTTAGGGCTTGTACCAGATTCCTGCAAACGAATTTGGGTGTGAATTTCTTCCCCTTTTCCTGTACCCAGGCCCCTGAGATTCTTTGATCCTGGACACCAATGGAGTACCACTTGGGTGACCTAGGCTCTTCCAGGAGACACCTACTCAACTCAGCCCTCATCTGTGAGATATGGCTGCCTGACATGAGTCCGTATTGCCTTTCAGGAGATGGATCCGGAATCTAGTCCTAGTGTGTGTGCACAAAGCCATCTCCCACCCAGGTTTCCAGTCACCAGAATCAGAGGTCCTTCTTGCGCACCCAGGACATGCACCGCAGAGGCAATCCATTTTGTCTGCGGTGGATTACAGGCCAGAAGGGTCCCACAGCCTATCCACTCCCTGCTGCCCCCCTGCCTTGCCTGTTCAGGACAAGCCCTGGGCTCCAAACATCCGAATTCCAGCTTAGGGAACCACTTACAGTGGGGAAGGAGTGTCTCTCCTCTCTTCACATCAGTTTTCCCCTTGGGAAAAATAGGGTGATGCTAGTTCTTTTGTGGTTTTAGAAAGATTGTTGGAGACAGAAGCTCCGGGTCTGCGGTCTCCTTCCTGGAAAGCGGGAACATTCTGTTGGGCACCGGCTATGGACCAGCACGGAGCGGCTGGGAGCGGTGACAACCCAGGTGTAGTGAAGCATATCTCCCGCACAAGGATCTAGTGACTCTGCGATCCCCGCCCCCGCTCCCGGTGGAAGTGAGTCACATCTCTGAAGGCCAAGAAACTGGCTCGAAGAGGAACGGTCCCGAAGACTTCCACTGCGCGGTGGCTGGGCCCTGAGCTCCTTTGGGGGAGCCGCGCAGGGGCGGTGCCAGTGCAGCGGGGTCCCCCATTCGACCCAATGAGACACCAGCGGGCTAGCGGGCGGGTCTGTGGGGTTGGGTCTCCTAACACACAGAGACCCAAACCCAGAAAACAAGAGCGTTCCATCCCACATTGGCCCTGAAAGCATATTTCGTTGTGTATAAATCTTAAGACACGCCGCATTTCTGCAACCTTGCTTTGGCGGAGTTTCCATTTTTAAAAATTACACACATGGTCTTTAAAAAGTGATAAGGCGATGCTGAGGCCCGGTCTGTTGTAGTTTTTGACACGGGCGCACAGACTCACGCGACACTTGCACATAACCGGGCGCTATACAGGACCCAACACTCTCCAGGCGACGGAGGGGGTGGGTAATCAGGCGCTCTCCAGCCCCGATTGGCCAGCCAAGCCCTCACCGGAAACCTGCGGCCAATGGGCGGCCTCCGAGCCGAGGTCCCGCCCTTCTTTCACCCCCTCAGCTGTGGGTGCCGCGGGCCTACGGAAAGAATCACGGGGGGCCGCACGCGCGGGACCACCGGGACACCGGTCCTCTGCCGCGCCCGGCCTGCGCGCACAGTCCCGGGCGGCGTCCGGGTAGTGGCGGGTCTAGGGGTCCTCGAGGCTGAGCCGGCCCGGGGGTGCGCTGCCCCGCCCCCGGCCCCGCCCCCTCCCCGCCCCCGGTGAGGCCGGCCGGGGCGGCGACCCGAGCGGCGACGTGAAAGGAGAGCTAGGCTGCTGCGGGAACGACTGTCCGCGCGCACCCGCTCCCGCCCAGGCCAGGCCAGAGGCGCGGAGCCCCACGCCGGCTCCGGGCAGTGGTTCTCCAGGGCCTGCCCAGCGCGTACACTGGGGAGCCTCGAGCCACTACCCCAGCGGGAGCCAGGACCGGCTGGGGCCCCGGACCCGGGGGAGCCGGGAGCCACTACCCCAGCGGGAGCCAGGACCGGCTGCGCCCCGGGCACCGGGGACCCCAAGGATCCCAGCAGAGTCCGACGGGCCCGCGGCCGCGATGCCGGATGAGCTGACCGAGCCCGGGCGCGCCACGCCAGCCCGCGCCTCCTCCTTCCTCATCGAGAACCTGCTGGCGGCCGAGGCCAAGGGCGCGGGGCGCGCAGTCCAGGGCGACGGCGTCCGCGAGGAAGAGGAGGAGGACGACGACGAAGACCCGGAGGACGAGGATCCGGAGCAGAGAAGACGGCGACGGCTGCAGCGGCGGCGACAACTGCGCGCGGGCACCGGGCCTGGCGGGGAGGCGAGGGCTCGGGCGCTGCTAGGGCCTGGCGCGCTGGGCCTAGGTCCCCGGCCGCCCCCCGGGCCCGGGCCTCCCTTCGCTCTGGGCTGCGGAGGCGGGACACGATGGTACCCACGGGCGCAAGGCGGCTACGGAGGCGGTCTCAGTCCTGACAGTGAGTGAGGGTGCGGGGAGGGTTGGGCCAGGTCCCTCTTCCTCCCGCGTATTTTCTTGGTGACAACAGGCTCGTAGAGACCTTTCTAAGTCTTCGGTGTATCCGGGTCTGGATGGTGTAAGATTCTCCCCCATGGCGCGTTTGCTGGCACAGTTTTGAAGACCCCGTGTCTGGGGCACAGAGCAGAGATGGTTGTGCCCGGGCCGGGGTTCTAATGCACGGAGAAGGGCCGGAGATAGAGGCCTACAGACCACAGAGTGTAGGGAACTCGGCCTGGAAAGACGGATGTGGTGCCGGGGAGAGGGGCCCTGAAGATGTAAAGGAAGTGAGGAGAGAGGTGACCAAGGAGGGGAGGCCATGGAGCCAGGCACTAAAATAAAGGAGAGCTGAAGAGGAGCCACTGTTATGGGGGGCTGGCTGAGGGACCTTCTTCTAAAGGGGAGCTGAACAGCCACTGTTCTCCGGGACTGGTGGGGGGTGATCTTCCATAGCCGCCTGACAAAGTCTCATTTCTTCCACTAATTGCAGTCAAAGCCTAGGGCCAGGCCTGGGTCTTCCTCCCTCTGGATCTTCCCAGGCCCTAAGACTGTGCCAGGTTAAAGGGAGCTCACTCTGAAGCCCCCAGTCCACCCCCATCTTCATCTTCTTTTCCTGCCCCTCCCCCTCCCTAGCCTTTGTTTCCTGCTGAGGGCTCAGAGAATAGGGGTGGGGGCTTCTTAGCCCAAGAACCCTGCACTCCCCTCTTGCCTGGGTATCCTAACCCTGTCTTCTGCCTCCTCTCCAGAGGTTTTGGGGTTTTTGGCCTTTTTAAAAAATCTCCCTAGGACTTGCCCTTTAGAGGGAAGACCAGAAAAGATACCCCAACATTCCTACCCCACCCCCTTTGCCAACCTGCCCCTAAACACGAAGACACAAGCCAACTAAGAACTCTTTCTGGATCAGGTTCTGGGAGCCATCTGAGTGTCTGTGTGTAGGTTGCGGAGTGTAGAAAGTGACCCAGGCCCATTCTCAATCGGTAGATAACTCCCTTTCTGAAGGGCTGGCTGTTTTAGAGCCCTGAAGGTCTAGGCTTCCTACCCTCTTTATGTAAACCTAAGTAGGGCCCTGAGGCTCCAGAAACCACGAAATTCTGAAAACACTCTGTCTTGTAGGGTGTACTTTATCCAGTTGGGCCCTCCTCACCTGCAGCCCAGCAGAGGCCGCTCCTCCATTCGGGCCAAGCGGGTTAGGGTTCCCGGTTCCCATCAGAGCGGAGTAGATTAGCACCTCATGGCAACACATGGGCCTCTGTGACTGTAGGGGTTTGGAGTCTGATGGGGATTCAAGGATCCCCAGATCTGGTTGCATGCAGGCTGTCCTGCTCAGTGACTTCTTAGTGGGCACTGAGATAACACACAAATGGGAGCTGGACTGGGGCACAAGTGAACCATGCACACAAACCCACCAGTGAGTGTTCACATGCCTTGGGTGAGCATGCAGATATGCATGCTGGGGCACACCCTGAACCAGACTCCACCTTGACCTCTGATCTATCACCAGGCAGAAAGGCAACTGAGTTGGTTTCCATGGCCTGGAAGCCTGAGGTGCTGCCTTTAATCTAGAGAAGAACTGGGACCCTAGTGAGCTTCTTTAACCTGGTGGCACCCCTAGGTAGCCCCAAGCTTGGTGCTTGGAGCATGAACCTAGAGGCCCCCCTGTGGGCAGGAGCCCCCAAGCCAGTACAGAAGGTGCTTGGATCAGGGTGGGGATCCTATGGGCCTCAGTGCAGCCTTCCTCTGTGTCCCCTTGAGAAGGGATCTGCTGCTTCAGAGGGCCTACCTCTGAGGACATCTGGGTCAGGGACTGTACCCATGTCAGGGCTGCTTCCTTAGCGAATGTTTGCATTTGTTTCTGTTCCTTCTGGAAGAGCTGTTTCCCTGGTGGCTACTGTGAGTGAGCAAGGAGGGGTTTGGAAGGCCTTTCTCCTAGATCCGAGGGGTTGGCCCCCGGATGCCAACTTGTCTGTCAGTGTGGTTGTAAGCATATCTCTGAAGGACACCTTTCCTTTTGTCTGGGGCTCTGAAAGCCTTCTGCGCGCCTGCTGAAGGCCTGGGGTACAGGCTAGAGGGGAGCAGCCCCAGAGGTCAGCCTGCCTTTCCTGTTAGCGTTTCTGTTTCTTTCTTCTCTCTGCGTCCTCCCTCTGGGTGTGTGGTGCCACGCATCTGTAGCAGCTCTGGTCTTGGGGTTCACCTCCTGCCTCCTCTGCAACCTTTCTTGCGCACCCCCCACCCGACCCCGAAGCCTGGATGCCGACCCTTGCGAATGGAATCTTTTCCAGCTTGTGGCCATGGCGAACTTGAAAGTGGGGGGCGGCCGGTCTCGGTGACTCCGTTCAGGGCTCACTCCAGAGCCGACCACTATGCCCCTCTCTCCCCTGCAGCCAGCGACCGGGACTCTCCGGAGACCGGCGAGGAGATGGGCCGCGCCGAGAGCGCCTGGCCGCGGGGCCCCGGGCCGGGAGCCGTGCCGCGAGAGGCGGCGACGCAGGGCCCTGCGGCCGGCGGGGAAGAGGCGGCGGAGCTGGCCGAGGCCCCGACGGCGGCGGCGGGGGAGGCGCGTGGCGGCCGCAAGAAGAAGACGCGCACAGTCTTCTCGCGTAGCCAGGTCTTCCAGCTGGAGTCCACCTTCGACCTGAAGCGCTACCTGAGCAGCGCGGAGCGCGCGGGCCTCGCCGCCTCGCTGCAGCTCACCGAGACGCAGGTCAAGATCTGGTTCCAGAACCGTCGCAACAAGTGGAAACGGCAGCTGGCGGCCGAGCTGGAGGCGGCCAGCCTGTCCCCGCCTGGCACGCAGCGCCTGGTCCGCGTGCCGGTGCTCTACCACGAAAGCCCGCCGGCCGCCGCAGGGCCCCCTGCGCTGCCCTTCCCGCTGGCACCGCCCGCGCCCGCGCCGCCCCCGCCGCTGCTCGGCTTCTCCGGAGCGCTCGCCTACCCGCTGGCCGCCTTCCCCGCCGCCGCCTCCGTGCCCTTCCTGCGGGCGCAGATGCCCGGCCTGGTGTGAGCCCGCCGGCCCCTCAGGCGAGGTCGCTGTGCGGATGCGCGCGGGGCGGTGGCCGTGGCCGGGGGTGGAAGGCGCAGCGCGCGCCCCGCGGTCCTCCGGGCGGCCGCTTCCGAAGGCAGCCGCTCCAGAAAGTACCCGAGGCAGCGCTGGGGACTCGCAGCCAGCTGCAGGGCCGCAGCCCTGCTCGCAGGAACGCTGCAATATGGACAACTCGCACCCGCACGTGCAGGGCAGACGCGGGCGGGGTCTTCCGGCAGCAAAGGACCACTTCGAACCGGCTGGCCAGGGAACTGCAAGGTGACTGTCCCATACACCCTTCCCCTCACACAAAATGTCCCTCTCCTGGGACATCGCAGGGACCCAAACAGCAGGCCACCAGGAGGGCTGTGGCTAGCGCCCTTTGGAGGAAAGAGTCCCTGGGCTTTGGGACGTCGGATCCTGGTCCTCCACTACAACGGGCTGTTCTCCCAGGCCGCGTATCTGGTTCTCTTGACTTGGCAGAAGATTTTTTTTCTGTGATGAATCTACTTCTTTGCATATGGAATAAAAAGGGACGTTTTCTGGATGGTCTCACTACTGTGTAGTCTCTGGGGACGGGAGTTTTCCGGTAGTAGGCCTGAGTGAATGCCTTCCCTCTCAGTACAGGTCATGGGAGGGCTGCCCAGGAGCAGCTATGGGCTGCCCTGGGGCAGGTAAGGGAGGCAGACTGGAGCCACCCCACTTGTGGAAGGCTATACACCTAAGCTTACCAAAGTTGCAATGGCTCCAATGGCCCAGGAGTGAGGAGTAAGGACACAGGGGTGCCTGTGTGTGCCAGAGTTCTGGAGACTGAAACCCAAAGCCACATGGTGCTCTGATCACTGTCACAAGAGGCCACCAGGCTGCGTCCACCTCGCTCACCTGCACCTGGAGCAGAGGGCAGGATCTAGCCTTGTAGAAGTTTGTTGGAACCACCAAAACAAAACACTGGCTCTCCCATCTAGGTGTGGTGGGTGCTGGCTCCTGCTTCCCCTCTCCTGGTCCATCTGTAGCCCTGTGCTTGGTTCTCAGGGAAAGTTGCTCACCCAGGGTCAGGGTGAGCAACAGACTGCTCCTGCCTACAGGAGCACACAGAGCCACAGGCTCTGCTCTGTGTGGGAAGGGGTACTTTATTTGGTGTACTTTGGAGCCTAGAGGGAAGAGGTCATTCCAGGTTTGAAGGGGTCACTCTCATGGCTGAGTGGAGCCCCCTAAAAAAACCAGTCTCCCCTGCTTCACCTGGGAGCAGACAACCAACAGTCCAAACTGGGCCTGGGGCACTCAAGGTGGCGCCAGACAGCCTAGGAGAAGGCGCCAGGGGCCTGGGGAGTAGTGTGTGTGTGTGTGTGTGTGTGTGTGTGTGTGTGTGTGTGTGTGGTATGTTCACCTGTTTCCCTGCCCCCACCCCATTCCAAGGAACTGGTTCCTATGTGGAGACACAGGCACCAGCACTCCACAGAGGGCCTTCTTTCCTTCTCTTACCCACTTCTCCCAGCTCTGGTGGCCTGAGAAAGTGGGCATTCTGAGACTCCCAAGAAGGGGACATTGGGCCTTGTCCAGCACTCCCATGTACAGGCCAGCCCTCCACACCAGTCAGATCAGTCCTGCTGGTATGCAGTCTGCGCTCTCTCCCTGCCTTGGAATGCCCTGAACTACTTTCCCAGGAGTGAAAACAGCTTATACTGACTGGTTTTGCCTGGGAGAGATGCAATTTCAAAGGCCTTGGACCCTGGTAACTGGCCACTCAGGGTCCAGGCTGTCCCTGTAGACAGGGACCGGGCAGGCCTACCACTCTTTCCTCCCCTTCCCTCCCCACTGAGCCTTGAGGCCTCAGTGTCCCCAGCTTCTGTTGCTGTTGTGTTGGCCTCACCCAGTCCCAGGACATCTCCGACTGCCCTGGAAGGGACTTTAGTGTGGCCAGCGGCTCTTCGGAGGCCTCAGCACACGCAGGTCCTCCATGGCAGTGAAGATCTCTCTGGCACTTGTGCTATATACAAAACCAGTGCTTCCCACTGCACCCCCAACCTCCAACATCTTGATGTTCCAGGCTAGAATGTTGTTTCCCTGCCAAGGTCTCAGAGGTGGTCAAATCATGCAGATCCCCCTCAATCCTTTTAGAATGGATGGTTAGACCCTGGACATGGCTGACACTGTAACACTGCCATTTTATTCCGGTTTCTAGTCTATGCCATGGGGCTGAGGTCACGTGGTGATCATAGGCTGTTTCTGAGCACAGCATTACTGCCTAGATCCCTGTATGTGCGTCGTTCCCCCCCACCCCCAGGCAGCAGACTTGTCCTTGTCAGAGTCCCTCACCAAGTCAAGTGAGTACCCCAGGGGAGCCACCAGCCACAACAGGCCACGAGGGACATGAAGAGCAAGCGTCCTGTGGGCACCTAGACTGGACCTCCTCCACCAGCCGGAAGGAGTCAGCTGGCTTTAGAGGAGCTATTTTTAATGACGCTGGGCAGGAGCTACTGCCCATCTTCCAGGCAGGGCTTGGAGTCCCTTAGCAGCAAAACAGCATCTCCTGGAGCTAGGAGCAGGACTTGGTTGATTCAGCAGGCAGCTCCAAAACTGGTTCAGGCAAGCTAGCCCTGCCCCATAAGTACACACAAGGTTCTGGGATGTGGGGGGAGGAACTGCACCAGGGGTGGCACCAGGCAGAGAGAACTGCAGCATAATACACAGCCTCTAAGTCCTAGAGGGCGCCAGGACCAGCCTGGGATCCCAGTGAGTCCTGATCCTGGCATCGATTGTGGGCATACCTCTGTGTGTTGGCTCTGCTGATGGCCCACAATGAATGGTTTCGATCTGTCTCTGCCAATGACGATGGGAATGCCCTCCCAGTGATTCCTCTTCCAGCCTCACTCTGCTAAGTGAGGGCCAGCGACAGTGTCTCTGAACTGCAGAGCCTCTGGACCCATGTGGATCAAATAGGGTTGGACATCTTAAAACATGATCTCTGGGTAGACCTAGCAAGAGGGGTCCCACTGGCAAACCACTTCTCAAAGCTCAGTTTTTGTGTCACAGTCCATTTGGTGTGGACTGGGTCCACAGTTTGTACCCCCTCTCTAGTATTCTCTGAGTTAACATTGTCCATACTCAGGCAGGACATGTGCAGTTAGCAGCCAGTTGGGAAGATTCCTAGTCCAGCCTTCATCTCCACTGGGAGCTGGGAGGCACACTTAGGCTGGCCCATCTCCCCAGGTGCCCTGTGGGCTCACCCTGGACCGTTCTTGGCATGGCTGAGAGCCAGGAGCACCCAGGAAGATTCCTTCCTGCCTCATCCCAAGTCACAACAAGTCACTGGTAGGCACCAGAGAAATCAATCTCCTTTCTTCTAACTGGAAACCCACCCCCAGCGCCCAGGGCCTGGCTAAGACCTAGGGAAGTATCTGAACCTCATTGCTCTCTCCTCAGGTGCAGGACCCCCCTCCCCAACCTGGCTGCTCAGTAAGAAAACTCCCCAGAAAGCAGCCCAGCTGGGTGGAGCCAAGTGGCCAGGCACTGGCCAGGTGCACTAAGCCAGGGCCCTTCTCTCTTGTTTGAGGGTCCTTCTGCCCCACCTAGCAAGGCTCCTAGAAAGCACCGACTCTGGGCTGAGGAAGCTACTGGGAAGCCAGAGCCGGCCAAGGCCCAGGCCCTCGCTGGGTTCACCAGGCATCCTGTTGGCTACTCCTGCCATTCCCCTCAGCTAGCCCTGTCCTGGCAGTCTGGTGTGGATCACCTAGGGCATTCCCTTTGCTGCACTGATCTTTGGGCAACCCGGGCAGGCACTCACCAAACTGTCTTCCTGATGAGTGGTGGGGTGGGAAGTGGAGTCCCAGCACTGGAACTCCCATAGTCAGGGGTCTCTTCAAAACCCCACCATCCCCAAATCCTTGCAGCAGGTAGTGGATGCCTGGTCATTCTGGAACCACTTCCCCCTGTCAGGTGGACTAGAGTGAGGCCACATTTGTCCTCATGAGGCCATGCTCACGCTCAGTCTCTGTTCTCCATAGGCACTGGGAGAGAAAGGACCTAGAGAAAATGGGGAAGGGCACACATGTACTACCTGTGTAGGGTGTGAGGGGAAGAGAGGAAAGACAGGTCTCTGGTCTCCTGCATCAGCTATTCTGTGGTTCCTTTGTTTTGTTTTCCATATTATAAAACTGTTAGTAATTATTACTATGTGGACACTTAGAAATAAACTGTGCATACCCACCACCAAAGCAAACTGCTTAAACCAGGCTGAGGATTTATTGGGACCGTGCTTTGTAGTCAGACTGTTAGCTTTAAAAAGTCTAAAGTGCATTTATGAAATTTCTAGCAAAACGATGTGATGTTTATTTAAAACACGGCAGCAGAATTAAAGGAAGAACGGAAGAAACAAAGTTGATCCCGAGTCCAGACTTGAAGAAGGGGAAGGCGCTGCAGAGGGCTCCTTTCAATTTCTCTACTTGGTTTTGCATTTGAAAAAATAAATCTGCGTTTCAAGAGACTGTGGACTCATGCACTCCCTGGGGCCCGACTCTCTGCCGGGAAAGCGGGGTCTTATGCTGTATTTGTTCCAAGTTTATATTCATCCAGTCTCACCTGGGTTTAGTTCACACCCAGATTTTTAAAAAATTGCTTTTTCCTCCGGGTTTAACGAGAATCTGAGCATTAAAGCCTGTACATTTATCTGTAGAACTGTTTTGGCTCGAACCTTCCTCTTTTTCCAAGCAGCTTTCCAGGTTTCCACCCCTTACCCTTCTAGTGTGCGTGCCCATCTGGAGAAGTACGGCGCCTGCGATGCTAGAGCGGGCAAAGGGATTTAAAGATCCCGGCGGCGCTGCCACCCGGCCGGATGCGCAGTTTCCGGCTCTGCCCTTACGTCCCGGATCCCGGTCTTTGGTTTCTAGGCACTTCCAAAGTCGCATCTTGGTGCCCGCCGCGGAGAGCAGGAGTGAGGCTGGGCGCCCCAGGGCGAAACCAGTGAGGGGCGGATGAAAAAGGGCTCCTTCCCAGGGGCCGCCCGGATTGCGGGAC